AATTACTATAAATTTTATCGGCTACACCCATCTTCAATAATCCTGGATCCGCCACTAGGTATGAATATATCATATTGTTATAGTTGTATACATGATATATAGCAGGAACATACGAACCAACATTTGTCACATTTCATCACCATCTGCCACCATCTACCAGAGTAGTATAACGTGATATATTTGATTCTAATTTTTTTCTTCCAGAAATTTGTAGATCGTTATAGATCACGACGATCTTGTTCCTTCTGTATAAAAAAAAACAAAATTTGATTAAAGACGAATGTGATACAGAGTGGTATCACTATCATGTAGTAAATGGGTGGTTATGTGTAGTACATTTTTTTCTCAAAATATATAAATAATTAATATAAATTTGTAGGTCACAATAAGCTAGTCCCATGAGTGAAATTTTTTAAATGTGGATTAAAACAAAATAGATACAAGCCAATTACAATGGAAATAAAAAAACCTTTCAATTTGACCTTTTAGATTTGGTTCTACTGAAGACCAATGGTCCAAATTTAGTTGGTCAGTTATAACATAAGCATGGATTTCACACCCTACACCTAGACCTCAGAAATCTCGGTAAATCTTTTTTTTTTTTCTTGAATACTGTCAAGTTGTCAAACAATATGAGTTGCATGGATGATTGATTCTTTTTATGTTTAGCCACACCATAGAAAATGAGCCATTCTACTATGTTTTAAAGCATTTATGCTTTAAAGTGCAATTTGAAGTTGTATCAAATTGAAGTTGTATCGTATCATAAGAGAATTTGTAAATTTATATTATAGTATAACTTCAATTGTAAAAAACATAAAGGTAGAACTTTAGTTTGTACCATAAAGAAATTTATACAAAAGAGTATAGGTACAATCTGAAGTACCATAAAATCAAATGCATAACTCGAAATTGTACCATAAAAACAAAACAAATAGTTTATAAAATTCCCAATAGAAAGTATGTCAATTTTCCGATGCGAAGAACATTATTATTGAATCGTATGTTCAACGTTCCACAAACTCATGTAGCTAACTACTACGGCCATGGTAAGTAGAAAATCATGAGCTAGCTATTAGCTAACGACCATTCACTAATTAGGACAATTCTTCTAAAGCGACCGTACCATAGACTAAACTGAACGAAAATTACAACTCAGACTGACAGGAACAATACGTTTTGTTTCATTTGGAGGGAGTTGACTTCACCACAAAAACGACTTGGACTGTTCTACTCATACTTAGAGTTGTTAATGAACCAAGCCGTTCATGAGCGGCTTGGCGTCCGACTCGAGAAAACTCGTTCGAAACTCGATTCATCTTGATCGAGCCGGCTCGAGAACAAGCTCGTTAACTAAACGAGCCGAACTCGAGCCATACCATGTTCAGCTCGAAAGCTCGCGAACAAGCTCATTTAACGGTTTGACATCAGAAAGGATTGAAATTCATGGATTTTATGTATTGAAATTGGGATAAATATTGTGTTTTGTTTTGCTAGACTTTGCTATAGGTTTGAATGTATATTTTGTGCTCAGTTCTAGCTCGATTTGACCTATAATTAACATTTTATGTGCTAAACTCGATTTTGGGCTGGTTAAACTTATTGGGCGAGCCGAGCTCGAGCTTTCATTTTCATAAACGAGTATAACTCGAGCTTGCATATTAAACCTCGTGACGAATACGAGCCGAGCTCGAACCTGAAAATATATTAACGAGTCGAGTCCGAGCTATGGCAAAATTAGGCTTGGCTTGGATAAGTCGAGCAACCCAAGTGGATATTACACTATTAATGGGGACAAAAGGAGTACTGTCTCGAAACAAAAGAGAAAAGACGCGTAAACGAACCACTTTCAACCAAGCACACATATATGGCTAACTTTTCCTTTTTACAATAGATAGTAATAGTAACATTGGAAGGGAAAAAAACAAAGATAGCAATAGTAACATATAGTATTGTGTCAGTAACAGTAATGGTAGAAAGTACTACACTTATAACCAAGGTTAAAGAAGGCCTAGTAATGGTAGAAATTACTACACTTATAACCAAGGTTCAAGAAGGCGCTAGACGTAACTCGTAAGGCAGGCATCGAGACTTTGCCTAGCGCCTAGTTTGCCTAGGCGTAGACTAAGCGTGCCTAGACGTTGGAAGAAAATAGCTATTTGCACTACATGATGAATGAAATAATAATCTACAACACTTCCTCACTTAAGTTAAAATGTTTAATAACTTACTCAACACTTAATGATAAGAACATAACTCACGAATTCATAGAATCATAGCTCAATAACTCACAAAGTTCTTGAGCTATTGAAAATATTGATATAAAAAATTGATTTTGTAGTTGACGTTAATATCCTCCTTTAATATTGACTTGCTAGCTCCATCTAGTTATTTTTAGGAGAGTTTTAGATGTCGCCTTACTCCATTGATGTGTTCCAGTATCTAACTAGGCGCAAAACCCCTAGGCGAAGCGTTTTGTCATTGCCTTGCATCTAGACGAGTCTAAGCATAAGATTAAGCGTGCATTTTTTAACCATGCTTATAACACGGTGCTTTCCTCATGTTGTTCATGGGGTCAGTGGCTTGCTCCCCAAGTTTGGCAACCAGAGGAGGTTTGGATGACTCCTATTTCTTTGGAGCAAGGATAAAAGTGATAATGATTTATTTCTTAGTTCACATGCCGGTTATTCTGTTAAGTGTAACCGATCATCTAATCGAAATCGGTGGTTAACGGTTACATGCATCAATAACCAATTAAATAGTAAATGATTGGTTTTTGGGAGTCGGATTTAGCTTATTACTAATCAATGGCTAAACGGTTAGTAAACATCGGTCAAACGGTTAACCGACTAACCCATTACGACCGTCCTCCTAGTTAGAGCCGAAAATAATATGCCTCGCGATGAGCCGCAAACATAGGCTGAAAATAATGGGATGTTTGAAGGCCTACAAATCCATTGCCTACCCAAATTGTAATAGTGACTTAAGTTCAAATGAGAATAATTTCAAAAAGAAGGGCTTTAAATGGAGCACAGTTGCTCGATTAATATAAACGATGCAGTTAACGACTCAATACTAACCGCAAAGTGTTTATCGATTAACCAAGGACCGACTAAACGGTTTCAGTTATAACCGAAGCAGACCAATTGCCACCCTATAACCGCTATGCAGTACTTCTTGGGTTGTTTATACAAGTCATTGGCTAATTGCTGAATGAGCACAACAATTAATCATATAATCAATTAAGTCATTCGAACAGAGTCTCTCATACTTAGGGGTGGGCAACGGGACGGGACGGGATACCCGTCTTGTTTTAAACGGGTACCCAGTCCCATTTGGAGGCCAAAGTCCATCCCATATCCCAAACCCATATGGGAAACGGGTACCCATTACCCGTACGGGACGGATAACGGGTACCCATACTACCCATATATACCCAAAGTTTAAACCACTCAAATTTTAACAAAAGTTTAAACTTAACTTGTAATTGCTTAACAATCAGAAGACACAAATCATGAACAATCACAATGCATAGAAATAAATCATTCTAAGCACCAAATTATCAAATAAGAAGTTTCATTCAACACAAATCATGAACAATCACAACGCATAGAAATAAATCATTCTAAGCACCAAATTATCAAATAAGAAGTTTCATTTAACAAAAGGGAGTAACTGTTATCTGATTTGATATCTGATCTTCCAACTCCTTTGCATTTCTCTATTATACATGGATTAAAGACATAGATACTCAGTTTTCTCATGATACCCAGTTAGTTACTAGGGATGTACCATGGTTCTGCACAAATAGCAGTACCTGAAGCTCTTCAGCATAGGACTGATAGTTAAAAGGCAAAATTTCCTTGTCTGCTAACTGGAGAGCTAGATATCCCCAAATGCTTGCAACTGTAGGTCAAAAAATTAAACTTGAGGTTGAGATGCATGATTAACATGTAGTTTAGCTTGCATTTGACACTACATTATGGCCACTTTTCTCTTTCGGATTCAGGAGAGTTTTGTATCAGTTTCTCAGTCCAAGTAAGGCTTCAGTATGGACTGTTTGTATCCCCTCATCTAATAGAATGATTCTGTTGAGCATAATTTATACCATCTGAAAAGATAGATGGAAATTCTCCATTATTCGGCCTCAAGTTACCCACCTGCAATGTGCCTGCGAAAATTAGAGTCACCAAACTTCTCCATCCAGACAAAGTCATCATACATTGAGTGGTATACAGGGTAACCTGCATGCATTCAGCTATTGTCAGCAGGGTAGAAGGAAAAATGTAACTGATAATTTCAATGTTAAGGAATCATACACCATTGAGGTTCCTTTAGCGATTGATGACTACTTTGAACTGTGAAAATAATCTATGGTACTTCTTGGATAGAGATGAGTTTAGGCTGCATGTCACTGCAAAGTGCAGACTACAAGTATTATGTTCACATAGCGTTATTTGTTTCTTTACTAAGAAAAGTTTCATCTTTGTGGCGAAGTGGACATTCCCTTTCTATGGATTAGAGTTCGCAAATGGGTAAAACGGGTACCCACATTACCCAAACGGGTATTTGCGGGTAACCCGCGGGTACCCATATTAGGAATGTACAATTCCAAGTCCCATCCGCTTATAATATTACGGATAATATGGGTACCCGTAACCCTTAAAAAACGGGACGGGTACGGGTATACCCAAATACCCGTTTTCCGTTGCCCACCCCTAATCATACTTCTAAATCGTTACAAACAAGTCCTCAGTTGTTATACGCAACCAGATTGGGTGTTGAGTCTGCTCACTTAACTGGATTCTTAAGCCCATTCCTTTCTCACACAAATTCAGCCCATTCTCCCCATCTACGGTGCCGTCTCAACAAACCTAGTCTCGGACCAATTCGAGCGGAACGGGAACTTCGCCGATTTCGCCCGTCGCCGTTCTTCTCCTCCTTCTTCCGAGTTCTGCCAGTTTGGGCTCAGAGAGAGGGTTTTCTTCACTTTCTCACTAATGACATCCAAACCCAGTCCCGCAATTACTACAACCTACTCTCCGACGCCGTCCTCGAAAAAAACACGGCCTGATGTCGATTGGGTCCGACCCGACAGCCGTGGATTCCATCAGTGTCGCCCCGCATGTATGAACCCCCTTTTCTCCTTTCTTCGTCTTCTTGTTTCCTTTGCCACCTGAAAAGAAAGAATATCTTCCGACGCTTAGTTCCTTTTTGGTCCATCTGCGAGATCTTTTCCGATTTATGTTTTGTTTTGGGATTTTGGTTAGCGGGTGATCAGTGTTTTTTTTAGCAGTGTTCAAAGTTCTTCCATTTATCTTCTCTCTGGCTGTAAAGAGTCGTATGCATGGGGACTTTTTAGCCAATTGTTTGGGTGGTTTAACAGAAATGCCTGCGGGCATTTCGTGAATAGTTGCCCTTCATTGTTAAGAGCACGTTTATAATCTACGATGTTCTGTTGATTTAGTTGAACCATTGCCCTTATGCATTCTGATAGTCTTCCTGGTACTTTTGTTAGTTGGGATTTTTGGTTTTGAACAGTTCTCAATTGACTAGTTGGACTCTTCGATTTTCAGAATGTTTTGCTGTCACCGTTTTGATGTAGATAAATGTCGACTCCACGCATTGTTACAGAATTTATCGCCTCGCGTTCATGAAGCTTCTTGATCCAGTGCGAAGGTTCTCTTGAGTTCACAAGCTTGTCAAAGTTCACAAATCAAGAGGGTCTTTATTTTTGATTTGTCAATGGATTTAGGCACCTTTTTTATCTGCCAACATATGAATATTTGTACTTGTGTTTGTCTATGTTGGACTACAATGATTGGATAGTGAATCAGCTGTATTTGAATATTGCATGAACTATTTCGTATTCCAGTTTTCAGGACAGCTGCTGTAAATGCTGCTGCTGGATCTGCCTATGCCGAGTTTGGAAATACAAAGGTCATTGTTTCTGTGTGAGTATATCTGTTACACCCTGTTAGTGATTCTGTAACTTGATGAAGAGGGACTTCCTATCTCCTTCCGTCATCTCTATGTTTTGTCATCTTCCCGATCTCAACATTTTGTTTGCGTATAAGACTGGAGATATGGGCGACCATTGTCGTTTATCTTGTGGTATGCACTTCCTAACAAGCTCTATATGACTTCTCCTTTTCCTTGTCGGCATTCAGATTCGGACCCAGAGAAAGCAAGAAGGCAATGATGTATAGTGATGTGGGCCGGTTAAATTGCAACGTTAGCTACACGAAATTTGCTACCCCAGTGCGTAATCAGGTATCAAATAATAACATCCGTTCTTATTGCTTGGATTGAAATTTCGATGAACCATATTGTATCTGATATGCAAATCCTTCTTTCATTTTTATGTAGGAGGCAGACTGTAAAGAGTTGTCGTTGATGCTTCATAAAGCTCTCGAAGGTGCCATATTGTTGGAAACCTTTCCAAAGACAACAGTAGATGTTTTCGCTTTGGTGTTGGAGTCTGGAGGCAGTAAGTCAGCTATATATTGAGCTTTAAAACTTGTTTAGATTAACACTATCTGCTTCTTGAATGGTCCAGAAAACAAATCTCTTTGGCATATTTGTCTCGTTTTTTTGGCAAAGGATGCACGAAAAGTTGTGTAGTGATTTGGGATCTGATATTCTGTGGGGACATTTATGAGTTTGTCATTTTGGTTTCTAGCCGATCTTCCTGTGGTAGTGTCCTGTGCAAGCCTTGCCCTAGCTGATGCAGGGATTATGATGTATGACCTTGTTGCTGGAGTTTCTGTGGTAAGCAGTTTTCAACTTTCCAATTGCTGGATTAGCATCATCATCTCAAATGCATTATGGCATAATCAGTCACTTTGGACCATTATCTGAAGTTCTCCACTAATTTTTATCTGGGTGCTTGTAGTTGTTTTTCAGACTTTTATTTGTTCTTTTCTTCTAGTTCCTGTCATTTTTTCACATTGCCGGCTTATATTTGGATTTCTGTTTCTATCTTATAGGCCTCTCTCAGTAAAAAGAACCTAGTGATTGATCCAGTACAAGAAGAGGAAAGCTCTCAAGATGGAAGCCTAATGCTGACTTGTATGCCATCAAGATACAAGGTTACCCAGCTAACCATTACCGGGGAATGGTCATCTGCAAACCTTAATGAGGTATGTGCAAGACACGGAAACTCATTGCTCTAAATGCGTCCATACCTCCCAACATGTGTTTTCCTTCAACGCTTGTATTTCTTGGCTAGCAGGCTATGGAGCTGTGCCTCGATGCTTGCTCCAAGCTTGCGAAAATTATGAGGTCTTGTCTGAAAGATGCTGCATCTTTAGCTGCCCAAGAGTAGAACAGATGAAATAGGTACAACTCTTGTTTTCTGTTCATTGCAGTTCTATTTTATGTTCTGTGAGCTAAAGGAATTTATGGCTTTTGCAACCCTTTCTGCACACTACAGAGATTCTTACCTCATCGTTGGTTTTTTTTACTTGTTTCTTTTGCCCCCAGTTTTTGTAGTAAAAGCCAATGAAGGAAAGGGACAGAGTGGTTCGAGTTTGGGTTGCATCCAAAGAGACCTGCTGTTGGAGCTTGGGATGATAGAACGAGTCCCTTGATACTTATCGCTGGGAAATTTTGATTGTGATTATGTTTTCATTCAATGGAGTTATCACTCTTTTGAATGCTTCCCAAAACCAGCAAAACCTGTTCCATATTTTGAGCATTTAGCCATTTGAATCCCTCCATAGGTGCACTTTGAAATTTTATAGTAGGGCAATGGACAAGCGCTGTAAAAAGGACTGAGATAGGGTCATGTTGAACAGAAGGCCGACTGTCTTCAACATATGTTGGAATGGCACATATTATGGGTGCCTCAACCTTTCTGCTTCTTTAATCAAAGAGTTCTTTTATAGTAGAGGTAAAAAGTGAAGAATGGGGTTCAAGTGAGATCAAAATGTGCCGTTAAGCTTTGCTCCTAACTTGGAATTACAAGACTTGTAACACAGAGATGCACATAAGAGATCCAACAACTTATATTCACTTTATCAGATATTATAAATACAGGAAATACTCAAACTGGAACAGCAGGCCTGAGAGAGACTATTGCCTTCTTAATCCTCTCCACAGCTGCCTGCAATGTGGGGAGGGATGCTGCATACGAGATTCGTATGCATGTGTCGTCTCCAAATGCAACTCCTGGGACCAATGCAACCTATACAAGAAAAAGATAACTCACCATTGAAGCACAATAGAGACATAGAAACCATTGATAGAGGTAGCAGCTTTTATTTTTCACCTGAGCTTTGTCCAATAGGTATCTACAAAGGGATTCAGAGTCCACAATTTCACCGAAACCTTCAACAACTGACCCGTAGTATGAGCTGAAATCTATGAACAGATAGAATGCACCCTGCAAAGGAAATGCCCATCTCAAAGTTATATATGGATGTGGGTTTATATATGAATGCACCCTGCAAAGGAAATTTATTTTTCACCTGGGGTTCAGAAATTTTGACCCCTTTGATTTCTCCAAAGCTTTTAACCAAGACGTCTCGACGCTCCTTGAATGCTTTCACCATGGTAGCCACTGCTTCCCCACCGGCATAGCCTAGTCCTAATGCAGCAACTGCAGCTTTCTGTGATATACTGCTGGCCCCAGAAGTTGACTGAAAAAGAGATCACTGTAACTAAAGAACAATAGTACACTGCAAATGTAACAGTTTATAGAGAAAGTAGGTGTCTAAATTATCTTTTGAATGTTCTTCAGTTAATAATGAGAGACCTGCTTAGTTCTTCAGTAGCTTAAAGAAGAGAACTTATAGGGAAAAAACATACTTTTTTGACGTTTGGATTGCCAATTGACAATTTATCGTAGACACTTAGAGCACTAACATGTTGAGAATCAATGCCTAGAATGATTTCAGAAGTAGTAGAGGTGAAACATGGACGAAGGTTCAGCATGTCAAATGCTCAGGCAAGAGATTGTTGAAGCTCCAACGACCGTATTTAGCACAAGGATCCAAATGTTCCATAATTTCATGTTACGTGACTTATTTCAAGCGGTATCTGGTAAACCGTAAAAGGTATAAAGACGAGCAAGAACAGTGATGAGAACCAACCATCACTGGTCAATGATTAATGCATAGACAAATTAGGCAAGATAGAACATTGCCCTCATAGCATCTCAGGGCAACATTTTCAATATTTTCTATAGAAATTGTTAACAAGTCTTCATATTCTTGGAAATGTGCAATACCTGGCTTTGTATCTTGTTACATGCTGATACGAAATGCTTAGGACCAGCGATATATCCAAGTCTCCACCCAGTCATGGCAAAAGCCTGCAAGTTTCAATCTCTAAAAGTCAGAGCCTTGAGGGCCTCGACTTTCTTTTGAAAACAGTCTTAAAGAAAAGTTTGCACTCACAAAATAGAAGATAAAAACGCATCTAAGTTTACCTTGGAAAAGCCATTTACTGTCAGAGTCCTCTCCCACATGCCTGGCAAAGATGCAAAGCTTGTGTGCTTGGAAGGTTGGTAGATAATGTGTTCATATATTTCATCGGACAGAACCTAAAAACGCATCACCAAAACATTTAAAATGTAAACATGTATACATGAATAGTGAGAGGATTACATCGTGGACCGATCAAGCATACCAGAAGTCTGGGATGTTTAGCTACAATTTTGGCGATCTCTTCCAGCAATTCCCTGGGATAAACAGATCCTGTTGGGTTAGATGGAGAGCAGAGTATCAAAAGTCTCGACTTCTCGGTAAGTTTGGATTGCAGCACTTTTGGATCCATAAGGAAGTTCTCAGAGATAGAGGTTGGAACAATCACAGGTTCAGCATCAGCCAATCTCGCCATTTCTGGATAACTGACCCAGAATGGTGCTGGGATGACAACCTGAAATTAGTTGTACAAACTGGTTATGGTTAAATCACACTAGCAAGACCAGTTTTGGGTTGATTAAGAACTTCACCTCATCCCCTGGGGAACAAACTGCAAGCACAGCTTGAATGATACTTTGCTTTGCTCCATTGCTAACTACAACCTGGTCAGGCGCATAAGATAGTCCGTTCTCTTCTGAAAGATGTAAACAAACTAACAAGCTGAAATCTATGCAGCAGATTGCAGTAATACATGAAAGCATAAGTATGAGCACACACCTTTCAGCTTCTTACAAATTGCAGCACGCAGCTCCTGTGTGCCAGCATTAGGGGAGTATCTAGTGTAACCTTCACGGATAGCATTAATGCCAGCCTGCCCTTCATAGAAGAAAGAAAGTAAGTTCAATTTATCAGTGAAATCCACAGAAAATATGGATAGGGGATCATTGACAAGAGAAAGACCATTATTACCTCGGCAATTACAGCTGGGGTGTCGAAATCGGGTTCCCCAGCAGCCAACCGAATCACAGGAACACCAGCTTCTGCTAGAGCAGTCGCCTGATCCGTTATGGCCACAGTTTTTGAGGGTTTTACCGAATTCACTCTGGGGCTCAATGAGATATCCAATTCGACAGCTTCAGCGGCAGTATCAGAAGACTTAGCCATGACACTTGTTGTAGAGAAAGGTACCGAGTTTGATGTCCCAGTTAACCTATCAAGAACTACAAGTGATCAGAGAAGGAAACAAGAAGTAACCCTCAAAAGCTGGGATGAATATATGATTTTCATCCCCTCCGAAAGAAGACAAGATATCAAACAGATGGTGGGCCACATTGATCCCCAGTTTTACCAAGCTTTTCTCAATCAAAAAGCAACACTACCCACCAAACTAGATGCACCAAAATAAACAAAGCCACGAAGGTAGACTCATTTGCCGATTGCCAGGTGAAACCCCCCACGGGTCCAAAATTCTAAGAAAGCAAATCCCTTTTCTACTATACATAAACGCCACCATTTCCAAAGCTTTCAAAATGAATTGCATTGAAGGGAATCAAGACGAAGAGAGTTTTCGCTTACTTCAGATGGAGAGACGGTGGCTGGGGAGGGAAGGAAATGGAATTGCCATAGCAGGGTGCAGCGGAATGAAGACGCTGGAATGTGTGATTCCTGGCAATCCCAGAAGTGGAACCAGCTTGCAGAGAAGTAGCCATTGTGAAAGAAACAGACAAGTGGTGGGATCTCGGGGGATTTGAGGCGGGTGATGGGGGGTTGGTGGGTTGGTGGATGGGCGGTAAAACTGCCACTGGGTAGTAAGTAGGTAATATGCCAAGCTTTTGAACCCTCGCTTCCACAGTACAAAAACTGGAACGGGGAGACAGAAACGATTTAGGAAGGACAATTGGCTGCGGCTTGACGTGGCAATTAGGATCCAAATCTATGAATTCAATCCAATCCATTCACCAAATTATCCACTTAATCCAATCTATTTAAATCCAATCCATTTAAATCCAATTGGATTGGTGGATTCATGGATTAATCCATGGATCAAAATGGCAAATTACGATTTGGTACCTATATTTTTTATATTTTACATTTTGGTACCTAAAATTTATATTTTTATACGAAAAATATCATTGGAAAATTACATTTTGGTACCTAAATTTTTTCATTATGACATTTTAGTAGCAAAACTTTTCAAATTTTACATTTTGGTCCAAGTCGTGGATGTCATTTGGATTCATGGATCAATCCACCATCCACCAATCCATTTGATCCAATCCATGAATCCACCAATCCATTAGATCCAATCCATTTGATCCATGGATCCACCAATCCAATCCACGAATCCACGAATCTGATCCAATTGCCACCTCTAGCTGCGGTTGCTTCGTCCCTACTCCCTACCCTCTAATTGTCTTGGTTTCTGATAACTTGTTTGGCTGTGGCCTGCGGGTTTACAGTTTACAGCCCGTTTCGGGTAAATCAGAAGGCTATAAGAAATTAAAGAACGAATGTAGCAAAATCCGAATCCAACTGCCGATTTCGGATAGGAAAGAATAGAGGAGGTTTTTTTTTTTTTTGTCAAACGATGACTCTTAAAAAGAGGATGCAAAACCGATCAAAGTTTACAAGGAACCTATCTATTATTGTACCAAGCAACATAGTCGAACCCCTTCTGAGAGACAAAGAGAGAGCACGACGAGTCACCCTATTCCTATTACGACCAATGAACACAACCTGGACATCAACCAAATCAGCCATCAAAGAATATATCTTCTGGAAAAGAGCACCAATTTTCGCATCCAAAGAATCATTAGCCCTGCACATCACCTCCAATAATCACCTTACTCAACCGGCAAAGACAATTATCACGCAAACAATCTCGAAGAGCCAGAGCCTCAAGAATATGCGGATCCCAAATGCCCTCATACTGTTGCGCCTTCACTAGAGTGAGAGTGTTGGATTCATCCATCACCACAAAGGTTGCAATCCCAGCCGAACCCAAACTTGTTGCAGCATCAAACATTGCGCCGTATCTGTGAGTTGAACCACGTAAAAACCCTTTGTGCAGTGTGTGTGTTTCAGTTTCAAGCTTTACTATGCTCTCTGTTTTGGTTGGCTTCTGTTCAGGTACAGGAAAGCGGTGAAACAGGAAAACGTGCTCTGCAGATCAAGGAAGAAGAAGAGAAGAGCAGGTTGTATTGGAGTTTGGTGGGCCGATCTCAAGTGTTGAGATAAGCTGCTGGGCTCAAGCCCACTTTCTTATTTGTTAAATCAATTAGACTGAATTCAACCCATATTTCATTTCATCATTAATCTTCAGTTACATTGAACAATCAAAAATCAATCGACTTGAAACCTCACTTACTTAGCCTATCAGCCGATTAGGGTTTTCTTTCAGGATCGACTTCGATTCATTCCCAAAGGAAGAAGGCAGGTGTCGCGCTCGACCAACTCACAATTTTTGGAAGAGTAGGTGGGTCGATTTTGCCGGCGAATTTCTCCCCTGCAATTGACGGCGGCAACGACGGTGCGGGAGGAGACGCAGCGGCGGTGGCGACCTCGGCATTTGTTGGACTACCTGTACCTTCACATTACTTATGGATTAGAGGAAGCCGTCGATTCAACAGCTAGAGACACTGATTCTTTTTCAGAGTTGTACGAAATGCCCAATTCGAGCGTCCTCCAGATTTTGGAAACCATGCCCGCGGGTAGGGGTGGCAGTCGGTCGATTTCGGTTTAACCGAAAACCGAAAACTCAGTTATTGGTCAAACCGAGCCACCCATTATAGATGCCGACCACCGACCGAAGAGAGGTCATGGTTAGCCGGCCAACCTACCGGTCGGTTTCGGTTTTAGGCTCGGTTAGCCAGCCAACCGAAAAAATACATTAAAAAAAACTAAAAAATTAATTAAATAAAACAAAAAAATCTCCACCACTCCTTCTGTTTAAGCCTAGATTGTTCCAGGCGTCTGTTCCAGATGAAGGGTGCACTCCAACTCCTGCAAAACAAGGGTCCGTGGGCGGTTCCCCGGACACCCTCCAATGCTTAAGTTAGAGAGAGAATAAGAAGTGCTATTTGGGTTTAGATAGAGAGAGAGTAGTTGAGTTACCATTAATGCCGATACCGGTGTATTTATAGTCAGCCAGCTTAGGTATGAGGCATTAAATGCCTTGTCAGGCGGCCTAGACATGCTCGACTTTACTTGGACCGCCTGCGGCGGGCATTAAATGCTCAGTCCTGCTGTGTACGAGGTAAGTATCCTAGGAAGATCTGCTTTTCTTGACACCAACGGTCTCCTGTGTCGGGCGGCCTACTTCCCGTCACGTCATAGGTCGGCCGCCTGTGGTGTCTCCTTTCCCTATGCCTCCTCGGGTCTCGTTCATTGACTCGGACCCTTCCTTGGGCTTATCTTCTCCGTCTCCTCGTGGGCCTGGCGAGGGCCTCTTAGGCCCAATACCGCTTAACTATGGGCCCAACAATTGCCCTTTAGTCGTGAAAAGCTGCGGGTTTTGGCGGCTACATGTTTGCTCGGTGATAGTTAAGCGGTTCTAGGTTTAACAAACACCTGCCCTTTGCCCCTGACCGCCAAGAGACGGGGGTTTTCATTATGCGTTCCGCTGCCCTTACTGTGCGACTTCTCTAATATCGACCTTCAACTTTGATGAGAGCGTTCTCGCTGTCCACTTTCCTGTAGGACATGCGCGAAGCGTGCGTGTTTAAGTCCCTGAGCGGTTTCTCTGTAAGCTTTGAGTGTGCGAGCGCTGTCCACCCATTGCAAACCGTGCACGAAGTTCACGGTTTGATAATTTTTGAAGTGATTTTTCCGATTGCGCTTGGATCATACTGCGTCCGTTAGTTACTTCGGAATTATGCGGTTCAATCGGCCATCGGTTCGGATTCCGCGGAACGTTACGCCATTGCATGTCGCACCACGTGTCCGTTCTCGAAATCCGAACCTCTGACAGCGGGCAGTCCCACGTCAAATCACCTGCCCGCTTTTTGAAATCCCTAGACTAGGGTTTATTTCTCGGTCACTTAACCGTCGCTTCACCTGCCCCCCTTCTTTTCCTATTTATACTCGGTTCTCTCCTTTGCTCTTCCACCTTCTGCTCAAATTTCTTCACATTAGCCACAATTGCTCGCTGCTCTCGATTCTCCCTTTCTTCTTATTTGCGAGACAGTTCTTCTCTGTCGACGGCACGAACAGATTTCCTCACGAAGCTCCGACGTAAATAGAAGCAAGCAAAAAGAAAACTGAAGTCCCAAATGGCGATCGAGTCGCAGAGTACCACACAATCTGATAGCCAGAATCAGAATCTGTCAAGTGACGTTGCTGCCGTCACCACTTCCAGCGGCAGCGCTGCCACCACCGCCTCTGGGGATGCTACTCGCACTTCCGGCAGTGCTCTTCGCTCGTCGGGTGGACCGCCTTCCGCGGGTAAACAGCCCGCAACAGGTACTTAGTCTTTCTCCTTCTACGCGGTTATAGACTAGGTTTCCAATTAGCTTTCGTCTTGCGCGCCCTTCGCTAGCGAAATACTAAGGCGGTCCTTCTGTGGCCTTTTTGGAGTAGAACCTGCTCTCCAACTTGCCGCTGGGACGTCGACTGGTTGGCGTGGAGCATCCTCGGCGGTTGGTGATAACCTGGGAGGCTTCGACTACTCAGAGGCTGAGAGCGAGCCGCCCACTGCTCCCGTTGTTGCCCTTTCCTCGGACAGCGAGTCTGGTGGACGCCCAGTAGTGGGTGAGGGGGAATTACAACTATCTGGCAAGCGCCCAGCGGAGAGTGAGAGGGAGTTATCCCCCTCGCTGATGATATCTGAGTCGCTCCTAGTGGCAGCGTTCCAAGCTGTTAGTGATAGCGTCTACCGCGTAAGGCTACACGCGGATATGTGGGAAGGGGAGGCGGTTCCCCAGAGCGCGTTCGAACAGGGACCGCCCAACGAAGCGGCTTATAAGCCTCACCAGGTTTTGCGCCAATTGAAAACTCATGGTCTACCTTCTGACTGGGATTATGCGGCTCCGTCACCCGTTGGGCGGTCTGGATCGTGCCCCGGAGGTTGGATTCCCATCCATGTAGAGCACATTCGGATGGGTTTGACTTTTCCGCTTGACCCTATCATTACAAGAACACTTCTGTTCTTGAACTGTTCGTTGGGCCGCCTGTCGCCCGGTATCATCTTCCATTCCATCGCCTTTAGAGCCGCCTGTGAGAAGATCGGCGAGATGCCTTCTTTTGATGCGTTTCGACTGCTGTACAAAATGAGGGGCTCAGAAAACTGCTGGTCCTGTTACCGCCGAGAGACGCAAATAGGATTTGTGAACGGGGCGCCGAAATTGGACTCCCCTTGGTTTAAAGAGTACTTTTTCGCCCGCCCTAAGGGCAGCTGGTACTCCGGTGATGTAGAGCCGCCAACAGGGTTCGCGGTTGGAGATAAGAGGGATTGCAACACCGACACCGCCGGTCTCAGAACCTTTAGACCGCTCTTAAAGTGCATCATGAGTGCTTATCGGATACACTTGTCTTGGAGATTATTCGCCGTTTTCATGGTTAGCCGCCTTCCACTCGTACTAAACGCATACACTTGTCCATTACTCATGTATCTTTCGTTTTCAGGTGCTCGCCGCTATGCTTCCGCTGCGAGACCGCCAAAACCCGGCACTGGCGCTCCCGCTTCTCCTCATCCCGCCAACGCTGCTCGCTC